CCTCTGCCTCCTGAGTGCTGGGATTAAATCGTGCACCACTGTGATGACTATTCTTAGTTGTCAACTTGACTCTATCTGGAATGAACCATAATCCAGAAATGGAGGGCACACTTGTGACCTGGATCTTGAGGTTGGATGACACATGCCTTTAATCCAGACCTTGAAGCTGGAAGGCACACCTTTACTCTGAGCCACACCTTCTGCTGGAAGCCTATGTAAGGACAAGGGAAGAAGGAAGGGTTTGTTTGTTCTTCGCCTGCTTGTCCTTGCCTTGTCAGCACATCCATTCCTTCACTGGCATTGGAGCATGCTTCTTCAGGATTCCAGCATGTACAGAAGACCAGCTGAGACACTCAGCTTCATGGGACTGAGCAACTACTAGATTATTGGGTTTATTGGACTTTCCATTCACAGCTAGCCATTGTTGGACTGCAACCTGTAAGTCATTCCAATAAATTCATACATACACACACACACACACACACACACACACACACACACACACACACACACACACACACATATAAGTTTTGTGACTCTAGAAAAACCACCATGCCTGGCCCACTGAAGAAGATATTTGACTGCTCAGAAATCCACTATTCTTAAAGATAAAATGTGGATAACAATAACACCCACTTCACAGAATTTGAAAGATCACTGTGACCTGTGAGGTGTGCAACTGATGTTTGCACAACATACAGTTAGCACACCCTCTATTAGCTTCTACTGCTCCTCCTGTTCCTTTACCTTTATTTTTCTTATCATGAGGTCAACCTCATTTGGTCCACAAATACTTACAGGGTATTTTACAAGTAGATTCAAGAGAGAACAAAAAGATATGAGATATGAATCTGGCCTGGACAAACACGGATCCCACTGAGTGATCAATGTGTATAATATAGAAACTATACCTTATGTCAGTAAATCTCAATTGCCCAACTCAAAGAGTACAGAACAGAATATACTGAGCAGAGAAGGAGCGAACTCCCCAAGCTTGAGAAATCTTATCAGACAAATTAAGAGGAGGAAGAATAGCATTCTAGATTGGCAAACAGCATCAACCATGCACTTTATGTACGAAACAGCCTAATGAGTTCAAAGGTCAGTGAGTAGGCTTAGTGATTGAAATGTCTTCTTGCGTGTTGAGTGTAGCAGTACTGGATGGTTGCTCTAGGAAACAGTCTGTGGATGCCCTTCTACCTGAACTAGAGGCCATGTGAGTCATGGGATAAATATGCCTCTTCAACTTACTTGCTAGTTTCAAACCCATTATTTTTCCATTGAAAGAAATTGAGATGTGATATGGAGTAGAGTGCAAAATTCACCTGGCAACTGTAGATGAAGAGCATTGACAAGTACCTTGCATTTCCAAGGGGTCACAGTTGGGGTTTCCGTTGCTGGGATAAAACACCATGACCAAAGCCAGTTTGGGGAGGAAAGGGTTTATTTCAGCTGACAGCGTGTAGTCCATCATCTAGGGAAGTCAGGGGAACTCAAGGCAGGGACCTGGGAGCTGAAACTGAAGCAGAGGCCATGGAGGAGTGCTGCTTACTGGCTTATTCCTTGTAGCCTTCTGAGCTTGCTTTCTTATACACGTCAGGCAGGACCACCAGCCCAGGGGTGGCACCAGATAATGGACCAGGCTCTCTCGCATCAATCACTGCTTAAGAAAATGCCACACAGGCATGACTAAAGACCAATTACAGAGGCATTTTCTTAATTGAGATTCCTTCTTCCCAAATCACTTTAGCTTGGGTCAAGTTGAAAAAAAAAAAGCAAAAAACAAGCAAACAAAAAACTAGCCAGTACAAAGGGAAGGCTTAGAACTGTGCCCCCAGGTCCAGTAGAGAATTCTCCGTTACAGAACTCTGCCACCCAAGTCTGAGACTCACAGCTAAGCGGAGAGTTCCTAGTGGCCGACATTGTGACTCAAAATGATGGCACATTTTCGATCAGAGGAAGAGGGCATGGTGAAATATTAAGGAGCAAAGCTCTTTCTCTGGTTTCATCTACAGAGAGAATGAAGTTGTGAGGGAAGAGGGTCTTTGCCTGAGGTGACAAGAACCTTTATCTGTGGCTCATCAATGCCTCTTAAGTAACAACCAGGAGACAGCAAGAAATGTCATGGCGTGTGCATGAAGACTAAAAAGGTCTGTGTTTGTTGAAGGGTTAATTAAAGCAAGGCAGGTGTGTGGGGCGCAACAGTGGGTAAGGAATCCTTATGAAGATGATCGTAGAGATTCTTGTAGACAATACTGAGGAATTGGATTTCACCCTGCAGGTGATGAACAGCCACTGGGGCCCCTGATATTGATTTTTATCTTACATAAAGGAGTTTGGAAGAAGTTTGTGAAGGCACTAAGGGTTCAGTGTACTGATCTGAGAGAGGGAAAAAAACAGTAAACTATAGCAACATCATACATACAACATCCCTAATACCACCACCCCTGTTCCCCCAGTTTCTGTGATATTTCTTTAAAATGAAACTTTCACACTGGATCAGAAGCTAAGTATAGTGGCTTCATGGCTGGTGAGTTTTCTGTGACATATAAAAAGCTTCCCCTTCAGTGGCCCTGAATCCAGGCGTCGTTTGCAGAATGTAAAGCTTCGAGAAAGTCTTTCTCCAGGCTGCTAATGAGCTGTTGCCCCTGTTGTCATGTTCCTGCTTCTGAGGCCTCCAGCAGTTTGTTTTTCCTCTCCCATTGATGATACAGTGGGGAGACAGTTTCCAGAAATCTAGGGTGGCCAGTGCATGCTTGGATCCTGTTGGCGGTTAGGAGTCCCAGAGATAAAAGTCAGGGAGCTACAGGTTCAGGGTCTTCATGGGTTCCAGAGGAGCATGGAAAGGCCCCTTGACCCTCTGCAACACACAACACTTGGCAGCAGAGCAGAGGGACAATGAAGAATAAGCCACCAGAAAACAAACTCCAGACATCTTGACCATGTAAGGTTTTTTTTCAGAACTCTAAGAAATGAAAAAAAAAATGCTTCCAATTCACAGAGCTGACAGAGACTACATCAAGTATTCAACTTCCTCATAAATCAATCAGAGAAAGACCAAGTCACAGAAGCAAACAGGGTAATTTACAGAAGAAACTTGAAAATCCAATAACTGTGAAAAAAAACTTATCCTTACTCAACCTACAACTGGAAACGAAATAATAGAGTAGGAGTGGCCAATACTGCCTTTGCTTGCCATCCCAGCACTTGTGAAGCCTAAGACAGGAAGGTGGCTGCAAGTTCACAGTCAGCCTGAGCTACATGGTGTGATGATGGTAGTTGTCAACTTGATGAAATTTGGAATCGCCTGAGAGACAAGCCTCTAAGTATGCTCTTGATTGCATTAATTGAAGTGGGAAGACCTACCTGCTATGGATGGCATTATCCCCTGGTGGGATTCCTGGCCTATAGAAGCTAAGACAGATAGCCGAGCAGCGGCATGTGTCCATCCACGTCTGCTTCATGACCGTGGGTGTGATGCCAACTGCTTCAAGACTTCACTTCTTTTCTTGTTGCCTTTACTTCCCCACCGTGGTAGACTATGCCCTTCAACTCTGAGCAGAAGTCCACCCCTCTCCCTTGAGTCGCTTTTGTCCGTGTATTTTGTCACAGCAACAGGAAGAGATGCTAAGACCCGGGGACTTCTTCCATCTCAAAAGGAAGAAGTCATCCTGAAAAGACGTTGCATCTTGTACATGAGAACATTTTGAAGGTCAAACAAAGTTGAGTATTAACATAAATACTTAAGAGACACATCACAGTCTCTGTCAGCACATAGCTCTCAACCAGCACAGCCACCTAGAACAACATGTTGTCAATACTTAATAAAAAATAAAGATGCCCATACGTCGTGATTTAGCAGTTCCACAGTGAAAACACAACCTTCCTACACGTTCAAAGGTGTGTGCAAAGAATCACCACGTAGCTGGAGGTGCAGCAGTGAAAACCGCAAACTTATTTTTGTCATTAGAAGTGTTAGAAAAGTACTCATTATTTTATTATTATTTATTATTATTACTTGGTTTTCTTTGAGACAGGGTTTCTTTGGTAGCCTTGGCAGTCCTAGTACTAGCTCTGTAGACCAGGCTGGCCTCGAACTCACAGAGATCTGCCTGCCTCTGCCTCCCGAGCACTGGGATTAAAGGCATGCACCGCCACAGTCTGGCAAAAAGGACTCTTTAAAATGGGGAAATACAAAGCACTTAAAATGAGTGAGCAGACTCTGTATTTATCAATAGATTTAAATCTTCTCCGTATTTATCAATAGATTTAAATCTTTACACTATGTTCACAGAGGAAAAAAGTTACAAAAAAAAAGTATTCTGCCACTGGTAACAAACCTCAAACTATACAGAGCAATGCCACATATGAATTTTTTAGACAAATGCATAAATAGTAAATGTGTAAGTGTATAAATAGGCAGGCTATGAGCCATCTTCTTCCTGATCTAACCTCTGGGGAAGAAAGTTGGGAAATGAGACTGGTAAGAACACAAAGGAGACATTAACCAACTGCCCTGTAGCTCAGAGCAGTTAGAAAATTCCAGCGAGAAATTAAATCCCCAGCTTGTGCTTGGGGGAGTTCAAGGCTAAATTTATAGCACTTGCATGGCATAGAAATCTCCAACTGCGAAAGTGGTGTTGAAAAAGAAAACAGCTCCTGGTTGATGAATCTACCGAGGCATTCTGCAGAAAAACAGTCACTGAGTAGAGTGCGTGTGACTAGCTGACTTACACTCTCACATGGCAACCTACTGATGACCAGCTCTTCCACCAAATTTCCACAATGCACAAGAAAGTAATCCACTGTGAGCAAGAATCGGTAGATATGGCTCACCAGAGAATTAAGGAAGACCTGATATCAGAATATCAGATCGTTCCTAAAGAAAATATTTAAATAATCAAGTAGTTCCTATCGGAAAGGTTGGAACCTTCACACTATTAGCTCAGTGACCTTTCTGTGTGACTAACGATCAATGATTGTTGTGTGCTTCCCCTCACCTTTTCTGAATGGAAGCATTCATTGATAGGGTCTCGTTTTTATCGGCGTGGTGAGGAGCGGGCCAGGCATCTGTGTTTGCAGGAAGAGGCAGAGAGCTTTTGTTTTTGCGTAGGACTCAAGGCAGGGAGGAGCCGCGCCAGGATCTGATGGGGTTGGAGCTGGAGTAAAAGACTGGATGGATGTCCAGGTTGCTTCCCCTGGGAGTGGAGAGGTCTGGAATGGGAAGGAGGGACAAAAGAACTTTTGATTACCAATGTCCTTGCATTCCCTCACTCTTCGGGCCAGTGCGATTAGCCAGGATCATGTGACTATTTCTGGACCATGACCAGGGCATGATCCACATCACTACTGGGCTGAAGCTTAGAAGAAAAGCTTCAGGATCTGCTTTCCCTTTTCTCTCCTCAGGGACACTGGCAGCTACATCATGGGGTGATAGTTCAGGCACTAGATGGAAACAGCTGGATTGCAGAATCATTGCCTGGGGAGCAGCTGCAGATACTGCGTGAAAAAAAAATAAACTTTAGCGTGTTGAGCCAAAATGCATATGGTGTGTGCCTTTCTAGCACACAGAGAGACAGACAGACAAAGAAAGAGACAGAGACAGACGGAGACAGACAGACAGACAGACAATAATAATGCTCATTAAAAATAAGTACATACTGAAGAATTAAAACCACATGGGGAAGCAACCAGCTATGTGAGAAGAGTAACACACTCAGAAATAGTGGCCTCGGATCCTGAACTCATGAAAATAGATACTGACCCTACATTTCAAAGAATATTTAAGTGCCAGGTGCACAGTGTGCCTTTTAAGGATTACAAAGAAAACTATCTTTAAAAGAAATGAATAGATCCTTTAAAAGTGAAGAGACAGTATGTCACATGGAAATGTGAGTGGGACACACATGCGCTTGTCTTTTGTGAAAGGAAAGCCTGAAATGCAGATGAAGTGAAGTGTATTTCCAAAAACATTAATTTCTTATGCACTATACTCGTGGGAGGAAATTGAATTTTGATTCATATTTAACACTATATAAAAATTGTATGATAGGTAGAAATATAAAAATTAAAATTCTAAAGGAAAACACACAAGACCACCTTGAAGGGAATAAAGCATGAGGAAATATTTGTAATACATATATCTGACCAAGAATTAACATTCATCAGCTCTAACGAACCCAAGCCAAGCAAGAACAAAAATACAGAGATAGAGATAGTGCACGCACGCATGCGCGCGCACACACACACACACACACACACACACACACACACACACACACACACACGGGGGTGGGGCAGGCACAGAAGATCCACACACTCGCTTCATAAAAGAAACTTTCTAAAGATGATAAGTTGGTATTACTCCTTAGGGAAAATGAATTAAAATGTCATTGCAGTACCACTATGACACGACCACAATAAAAAAATCAAGTAAAACAAGACTTGGCCGAGACGTCAAGACACTGGGGCTCTCCTGTGCTGGTGCATGAGTGTGAATTAGCAGAACCACTTGAGAAAACTATTGCTCAGGAAAATCAAGCTGAGCATGAAGTTACTCCTGAAAAACGTCATAATACCAGAATTGTCGCTATGCTTCGTGATTTGGCGGAGAGGAATTAGGTTGTAGGTGGAACCAAGGCTAATGATCTTTAATGAAATTAAATTAGAGAGATCGTCGTGCTGCATGATCTGTGTGGTCCCATGGAATGACAAATGTCCTCAGAAGGGGAAAGAGGAATCAGGACAAAGGAGTAAGAGTGAGAAGAATTTGGACCATTGTTGCTAGAGGGAGGTGGCCACAAACTCAGGAAAGCAGCTCTGGGGCAGGAAGACTTGGACAGAGACTCTCTTATGGCCTCCAGACAGCACAGTCCTACCTTAGCCTTAGCACAAGGAAATTCATGCTGGACTTCCAGTCTATACAACTGTAAGATATTATATTTGTGTTGGTTTAAACTATTGTATGTGTGGCAACTTGACACAGTGGCAATGGAGAATTAATATATCCCATGACTCAGCATTTACACTCCCAGATATGTGTCCAAATGGAAATCAGAGATATATGCTCCAAAAGACACAACAGAATGCTCATATAGGCATATTCATAATTGCTTTGTATGGGAAAGCGCTGCTTTCCATAAATGTACAATAAGTAGTTTGTATCCTTTTAACATAAAGAAATATGAAGCCATCCATCCAGTCATACTAAGAAATTTACATACAACGGTATGGTGTCTCTCATAAATAAAAGGTTGGAAAAAAAGAGTTTAGGCTGAATTTTTATTTACAAGCTGGGGATGTTGCTCACTGGCTCACTGGGTAGAGTCTTTGCTTAGCACATTCAAGCACTGAGGTCGATCCCCAGTACTGAAAGAAACAGAAATAGAAGAAGGCAGAAAAGGAAGAAGTGAGGGAGGGAGAGGGAGAAAGAAAGAGAAAGGAGATAAAGATAGATAATAGATTGATGATGATGATGTTAAATAGATAGATAGATATAATAGATAGATGACAGCTAGATAGATCATTGATAGATAAAGATAGAAGATAGATAGATAGATGATAGATATTGATTTATCTTATATTATATTCAAAGACCAGTAAAACTAACCTTCATTTTAGAACCAGGAGACCTGCTTGGCAGGATTTGCTGACTGACACATGCCAATTGGAGTCTCCAGTCTTTCCATGCCTTGCCTCCAGGAGCAACTTTCATTGGAGATATCAATTATGCTCAATACAAACTTGTGTACATACTACATTTGAATACAAATTTTGACTTAAAAAGGCAATGGGATTAAAGGCGTGCACCAGGTGGATCTCTATGAGTTCGAGGCCAGCCTGGGCTACCAAGTGAGTTCCAGGAAAAGGCGCAAAGCTACACAGAGAAACCCTGTCTCGAAAAACCAAAAAAAAAAAAAATAAATAAATAAAAAAAATAAAAAAAAAGGCAATGGGTCAATTTAAAATTAAACTAGACACAGTGTGGTGCAAACTGAAAATCAAGAAATGAATCTGATAAAATTCTAAAGAGTGAGGCTAGGAGATAAAATGATTGAAACTATGAGACAATTTTAAAGTGAGAACGATCATCACCATCTATTACAGGTGCTCTCATAAGTGACAGTTGGGAACATGTGAGGTGAAATATTGAAAATGCCTTAGTTAACTTCTCATGAAGTTAAGGTGGAAAGATTGTTTCAGGTCAGCATGGACAACCTAGCAAAGCCCCATCTCTATACACAAGAAAGTCCCTCTAGTGGAAGGTCCTTCTGAAGTCCATGTACTGAAGGGTTATTCACCAGAGTGGTGGCATTGGAAGGTGCTGTCCCTTGAGGACATGAGGTCTACTGGGAGACCCCTGGATTATTGTATGTGTTCCCTCAAAAGGGATTGTGAGACCCTGGCCTGTCCTCTGCCTACTGACTTTCAGACTCATGTGTAAGCCTGTCTCTCCATGTTTTTCCTGTGTTCTGACGGCATCACCAGTGGCCCAAAGCAACAAGCTTCCTGATCATGACTGGAACCCCCAGAACTCTGAACCCAAGAAACCTTCATTTTCAAAAGTATGGTTGACACTGTGGTGAAAATCTGGCAAACAGAAAAAAGGGTGGCACACTTGTGATCCTGTGGCTGGGAAATGGAGACAGAGGACCTTTGGGCATACACATGAGCCAGTCTAGGCTAATTGAGCAAGCCCCAGGCAAGAGACCTTGTTTAAAAAAATGACACAAGCCAGGTAGTGGTGGCACACGCCTTTAATCCCAGCACTCAGGAGGCAGAGCCAGGCAGATCTCTGTGAGTTCGAGGCCAGCCTGGTCTATGGTCTACAGAGTGAGATCCAGGACAGGCACCAAAACTACACAGAGAAACCCTGTCTCAAAAAACAAAAACAAAAATGCTACTTACTTCTGAAAGCAGAATAAGCAAAAATGTAAATAAATACCTACCATGACTGATACAATTGTAGTTAAACCATTGTTAACAACCAAAGATGACTAAAGACATTGGAGTAACCATGGCACAGCCTTAACCTGGATAGGTTTTGAGTTTTACTCAGGTGTGCTGAAGTGTAGTTTTTTATGAGTGAATTTCTCTTTTCAAGGTATGGTTTTATAGAAACTGACAAAGAGAATATCATGTAGCCTCCTCCACAGTCAATCTACATTATAGTTCCATGACACACAAAACATCTCCCCAGCCACACTGTGGTCGGCCCTTCCTCCCACCCCAGTCGGTGGCAACCACCAATCTGTTTTCTGTCCCTGTAATGGTCATTTCCCAGAACATCATGTGATTGAAATCATACAGATTGTGGCCTTTTCAGATGGGTTCATGTCACTTAATAGAATGTATTTGAGATGAGTCTTTGCTATAGTACCAATCTGCCCTTCATTCTTACTGCTCATTAGGACTCCTTTGAGTTGATACAACCACATCTGTGCTCAGACGTCCAACAAGAGAAAGGTATTCGGGGTGTTCCCAGTATTCGGGGTCTGTGGATAAAGTGGCTGCACACATTTGCCACGGGCCTTTGTGAGAACAGATTTTCATTTCTGTTGGATAAAGAATGGGATTGCTGGGTCACACGCTGGGCACACTCACGCATTGTTTAGTGATGGAGACACCTTCTTCAACATGATCAGATGGGACACCACTGCAGAGCGGGCACTGCTGACTGGAACATGGCTGTGCGGTGCTGGACCGCTCCATGCATGACCACATGAGCTTTATAAGGAGCCTGTGACCTCGTCTACTGCGACTGTTTCATTTCTTTTCTGTTCTAGTGTCAGGGGAGAGCACTAGCTGCCCCGCCCCCTCCCCTTCCCATCCATGTGATGTGTGGTCACCCTCCACCGCAGTTTCAATTTTCATTCCTTTACATGCTGTTTGCCATGGGCAGACTGCTTTGGCTTAGTATTATCAGGTAGTTGTTTGTTTTAGTTTGGCTCTTCACTATTAGTTTTTAATTCTTTTAACTACATTTTGAAGAATAGAAACTTCAAATCCAGGTGAAGTCTAATGTATCACTTCTTTTTTTGTTTGTTTGTTTTGAGACCAGGTTTCTCTTTGTAGCTTTGGAGCCTGTCCTGGAACTTGCTTTGTAAACCAGGCTGGCCTCCAACTCACAGAGATCTACCTGCCTCTGCCTCCTGAGTGCTGGGATTAAAGGTGTGCATCACCACCCAGCCTGTATCTCTTCTTTTTGACAGGGTCTCACCATGTAGCCTTGCCTAGCCTAGAACTCACAGAGATCTTCCTGCCTCTGCCTCCTGAACTCTGGGATTAAAGTTGTGTACCACCACGGCCAGTCCCAATGCATCCCTTTTTAAATGCATGACATTGTTAGTGTCATAGCTAAAACATCTTTGCCTAATCTGAGACTCGGAGCCCTTCTGCTACATTCTCTTCTAGCAGTTCTAAAGTGTTAATCTCAGGCTGCTTTTTCCACTGGTGAAAGGTTAAGTTGGAAGGATGTTTCTTTCTGTCTTGACTTTTTTCTTTCATGCGTACATACAAGGGTTTCAACACAACTTATTGAAAGGATTGTCTTTTTCTACTTAATTGCTTTCATGCCTTTGTGAAGAACAAGTGTGTGTGTCTGATTCTGACTTTCTATTGTAAACCATGCTGGCTTAATTACTGTAGCTTTCTCTTAAGTCTAGAAATCAGGGAATGTACCTCCAAAACTCAGTTGTTGTTGTTTAAATTTAGACTATTCAAGTTCCTCTGCCTCTTTATACAAATACAAATTGTTAATATTTACCAGAGTGTTGATTATTACAGTAAATTTATGTGTTTTGGGGTTTGTTGTTGTTATTTGTTTTGTTTTTTGAGGTAGTCTCATTGTGTAACCCTAGCTGTCCTGGAACTCACTATACAGACCAGGCTGGCCTCAAACTCACAGAGATCCTCCTGCCTCTGTCTCC